GCTGTACTGCCCACACAGGACTGACTCTTTTAGATTTCGTTTTTCAAAGTCTATCTTTCTCCGCCTTAAAATCTTCTTCTTCTTTACCTTTCCGACCATCAAACAATAAGACGACTTCTTCAAAAAAGTCAATGTGCATACCTTCTCCTGGTTCCACAGGGAACATAAACTACATCTATCACACACATCTCTTCAACAACACGCTTTTTTACACGCGGTCTTGAATTTAGTAGATCTGTACTCACCTCAAAGTTAATCTAATCGATTGTGATTCTTTTATTTGACCGCCTCTTGTGGTGGTATGATCTTACAATATACATAGTAATGTGGGGGGCTGTGCAAAAACATTTTTTCCCGGCTGACGCAAATGAGCTTAAAGCATTCTTTTTGGAATTATCGTGACGCAAATGTTTTTGCACGGCACTCTACACTATTGGGTATATCTAATCGATTGCACAAGAAACTATTTTTTTCCCAAATCCTGAGAGCATGTTTTGAGCCTTTCATGAGATCTTTTCGCACGCATACAGTGAAATACAAGCGTTTCGGCCGTGCAGCCTCGTCTGTTGCACGGTACTTCTTCATTCAGTCAGTTCCTCGGCGATCTATCTTTACATAGAGGAATCATCGGAAAACACGTTACACTGCAAGTAAAGTGAAAATTCACCTCACCCATGGGTAACATATCAGTGCATGTTCAGTGAATTTCAGCGAGGCTTTGATAAACAGTCGAATATAGAGGCATTATTTTTTTTTACACGACGCGCTTTCACAGCAGATGCACTTCTTGCATTCCATTCATTTTCTCATGTTCATCATCCATAAAAGTCTTAAAATACTTAGATGTGCGTTTAGCTGCTGCTTGAAAGATTTCCCCTTTCGCTACGAATGTCATCTTTGACTGCTTGTAAGTCGATGCTCCCCACTTGCTGGGGCAATATTTCCAAGCCATAGCATTTACTTCGACCTTGCTCAGCCGAAAGTCGCCGTTCTTTGTGAAGGATCGATTCAATAGACATAGGTTCAAAAAGATATACTTTTAAATACTATTTTTGAAACATAAACAAAAGATTGTCAGATGAGGACTGCTTTTGAGATATACAATGTGATAAATCAGTAGATGAGCACACACTTTTTTGATGCCTAGCACTTCCTATACACATTTTGCAATTCTACTGACATTTACTGATATTAACCATAGATCATGACTGAATAACACGTATAGTAGTCTTTTCGATGTCCTGTTCCTTACATCCAAGCGATTTTCGGATATTTAGAGAGGGTGATTTTTGCTGTTATCGCGGCCTTGTTATGTGAGTGACCTACTTACGTTTCGCCTACATCGCCCGCCTCATCAAAGCCACAGATTCTTTGGAATGTCGTATTTTAGAATTCATTCCCAAAAACGATTTGGTACGGCAGGCTGTTTCCCGTAAATTATTAACACATTGAGGACAATGCCTTATTTTGCGCTATGGTAGGTGTGGAAAGAATACGTCTCTCGTTATCGTTCAGACACGATTTTTCGTGGTCCCGTCCTTCTTTATTGAAATTTATAATCTAGAATAGGAGTAATTGTTCGGTTTAGAAAAATTTCTGTCTTTCCCGACCTGTGTATGTTTCATGGTGTCCTCTATACGCCCATATGTTTCTGCTTTATACAAGTTTTTGTGTTTTTGTGTGCTAGGAAAAAATTCGTCCTCACAGCAAACATACTGTTGTCAATATGCTGAAGTTGTTTATTTTCATCAAACAAGTTTTCGATGTTTGCTCAATAGTTTTGGCATGCTCTTATTATATACAATGTCTTGGTAGGAACCAGTAAGTGGATTCTAAATTAATCACGTTGTTTGTTCATTTCTATACTTTATGAATATATGCATATATACATATATTGGACTACTGGTCTGCGACTGATATATTAACTTGATTTTGACTCGAATGTTTGATGTGAGGGCTTGAATTTGACAGTCTAACATATACATCCTATGTAAGAATTTGAATATGTATAAATCACAGCAAATGGGTCAAATATTCTTTGACATTTCATGAACTGATTGAAAACCCGAAGCTTCCTTTGAGAACCGATTATAAAATAGAACCGCTTCTGAGGTCAATATCTCACCGCTTAGAGGCACCACTCCTCCATTAGAATTAGATAATTGAAGGTACGCATAGTCTGACACATTCTAAGAAGTCCATGATCATCAGAACCTGATCATGTTCACTAGCCTGTTATGTTATGAGTTTCTGCTTCTACTGGAGACCATCAGAACCATTTGCTAAACCTCATTAAGTTCATACTTTTCTGAATGGACAGTGAGCTCCAATGTCACCGGTGGTTCTGGGGTCCCTTAGTATCTCGCAGGCATATTATATATGCCCATTTCGTGTCTTCTGCTTACACTACTGTGAGTAAATTCTCTACTAGACGGATTGTTCTAATTTTTTCCGGTATCAATATATAGTACGATTTAAGGGCCCAAAATCCAACGACGTAGTACACGGATCGGCTCTTTGACTAATGCAAACAACAAAGACTTTTTGATATCAGTTATGCCCGTGAATAGAGGAATTTCGCAGAGATATCAATTCAAGTGTACATGAAACTTGTGATTGTATATATTGACCGCTTTGTCTTAATATAGGTTGTCGACTGGACGACTGTAAGGAGATTAATTGGTCCATGAATGTAAGCGTACTGTATATATATATATATATATATATATATATATATATATATATATATATAATCGTCGAGTGACTCGAGCGGGTGCCAGCAACTCTTCCATTTTTCCCTATCGCGTGCAAGAGTAGCCCAGTGGGTCCTCCTCGCTCTAGGAATTCGTGGACCAACGGGTCAGTGGTCTTCCTTTAGAGCGCTTGACATCGCGAGGAATCCAGTCGGTAACGGCTCTCGTCCATCGGTTGTCGTTGAAGCGCATCACGTGTCCGGCCCACCTATTTTCGATATCCTGGCGTGTAATATATATATATATATATATATATATGTATATGTATATGTATATATGTATACACATGTACATATGCATGTATATATATATATATATATATATATATATAAACCTTTTCGTGAACGTGGACCCAAGGCCTCCGTATCTTTGACTGGCAACTCTGAACGGCCTGCTCCACCTTCTCTTCATCTCCAAACACCAGCGTGCTGCGCTAACAATGACAGGCTGTTACGTTTAAAAATGTCCGCTGCTGTGTCTAACAGTGGTATGCTGTGGGTTAGAGATGCGGAGGAGGTGGAGCAGATCGTCCATGTGCCAGTCAGAAATACAGAGGTAGCAGGTCCACGATTTCGAAAGGTTTAGAAAGCCCTGCTCGTTCATAGAGAGTTGTTTCGTAAGTACTGTACAACTACTTCGCATTTGCCATTGAAGTTGTTTTCTGTCGTAAAAATCGGAAATCGTAAAAAAAAAGTGTAAAATGTGAAGTGCATCTGAAGCTTGTATGTAAATAGTGATATGTGTAAAAGAATTTGTAGCTGATCATAATACTCGTGATAACTTGTTAAATATTCTCTTATCACACTATTTCTAATAATTTATTTTATAGAGAGGTTTATCCCAGATTTTTTGTAGTTAGTCGATAGCCTATCGAATTTGGATGTATGACCCCAAATCCCCTGGGGAAAGGTGTCCTCTCAGCGATGTCTCACTTATTTATCTACAACAGACGTCTCTAGCTGAGAAACAAAGTAGATTCCCTCCCTCATTGATGAAATCAAACTTTGCAACGAAGTTACTCTGTGTATGCCCCTTTCCCCAGTGACCTGTTATTTCGTCATAACACAACGCTTTCCAAGAGTGTCGAAATCAATGTAAATTATAACAGAGATTTCTGCGCATCTTCATTGACCGCATTCTCTACGCAGCAAACTCTCTTCAACAACACTAATCTTTCGCCTACGGAATGAACTCTTCCGAAAACGGCTAATAATCAATTGTAAAATTGCTAAGGAGACATTCTTCCACGAATGGCGCATGCGATATCAACTGGATGAATCTAGCTACTGACTGGTGATTAGAGGTGTTAGCAGAACTTTTTGTTCACCAAAATAAACTATGGGAAACAAAGGAAAAGGAATACGTTCCACGTCGCTCCCAATGAAGTAAATGCAGTGAACGCTTTTGTTGGTTTCAACGAGTATACGTCGATTTCTTTCAATGAGATATTGAGTATAAATCATAAGATGAAAAAACTCTGAAGCCCAATGAACCAAAAATGAGCACCATAATGCTTTTATCATCTTCTAGTGTAAGACATTTGGACACTATAGTATCCATAGGTAGCGTTATGCATAAAACAGTCATTTCAGTGCTTCTGAATTAGGTAAAACTCATATTATCATTTTTGTTAGATAGCATTTCCTGTGATGATGATGTGTTCAAAACAATACTAAGTCCGGTTGTTTTTGTTGATGCTGTTCCTCAGTGAGATTGTGGATTCACTTTTTTCAACAAGCAGTCGTAGAAGGTGGTTGTTTTATAATATGTTTTTTTTGCATGCTTAAATTACTTAAATGTGTTAAAACAGTTCTGACAAAATCCAAAGCATGACAGGTATTATAAACTGAAGAAAAGGTAAGTATTATGAAACTTTATGAATCTATTCAATTGCAGAAGTACGCCGTAGATGCGTACGTGCCTAAGTAACAACTATGAACTAATATAGAGCTCCACCAATGGAATTTACCAACGAAGTACTATTTTAATAATATTCTTAGGTGATGTAGAGTGGTGTACAAAAACATTTACGTCAGCTGAGATTCGAACCCGGATCTCACTCTTTCCGAGAGCGCGTGTTGAACCGTTGCAATAACAAATATAAAATGAATTCCGACTGATTATGAAATCCAATATCTGTCAGCAAAAGTGGGTTCAATGTCGATAGTGACTTCCTATGCCAGACTCTAGACGGTTGGCTGTTGACAGATAACGCGTTGTAGCGTGGAAAGAGTGGTTTTAAAACGGGTGTCAGTAGTGCAACGGTTCAGCACGCACTCCTGGAAAGATTGAGGTCTGGGATCAAATCGCAGCAGGCGCAGATGTTTTTACACACCACTCTACATTATTGAGCTTATTGTAAGATCGTACCACAACAGTACGTGGTCAGATAAAAAGAATTCTGATATTCTTAGGTGTTTTTCTGCCAGTTTTTCATTTTTCAAATTCATGTAAATCCTGCCATTTGCGGATATCTCCAGCGTAATTTGACTAACCTGTTTTCACTGTAGAGGGATACAAGCCATTATTGGCCAATGTACAGCTGCACTGTGCCACTATAGCACTGAACAAGCGCAGTTGACCAGTGGGTAACCTAGTTTGCTCGCTAGTTTCTAAAGAGTTGCCTGTTTGTTTAATTAATCATCTACTTATTTATTATTCAATCATTCAATTATATGACTCGTCATTATAAATGCTGCGCGGCAGGCACCGCGCATCGCTTTCGGCCGTTTTCTCGCTTGGTCCGCCACAGAAGTTATTGAACGTTTCGTACCTAATTTCGGCTGCTACTTGAGAATTTCCTTTTCATTACGAACACCGTCGAATGTTGGTCGAGTCGATTGTTTGTGGAATCTTGGAGATAGAATCATGGGCAACCACGCAGATTCAGGAAAACAGTGTGAAAAGTGATAGAACCAACTACTACATGCTTCTTAACAAACTGAGTGACTAACCACACAGCTATCTCTCCGCCCTCAGTTCTGACAACTAGGGGCTTCAAAGTCGAGCTGGACGACGTCGATTGGAGAGCGCGCACTGCGGTCGCGAAGCGTTCTCCTCAATCCCTCGGGTGTATCCACCATCGTCACGCATTCAACATCGTTGTAGACACGGAATACTCCTAGCATTATAACTAATTTTACTCAGTCCGTTTCGTCACCCGACCATGAGGATCCGAGCACTTGCATTCAGTTGTTTCTTTACATTCATCCTTCACAACGGTCTCTAAACGCTTCGCGTGTTGCTTCGACAGTTGCATGAAGATTTCATCATCTCTATGAATTTCGTAGAATGCTGGCTGAGACATTTCTCCCACTTATTTCGAAAGTCGCTGAGTTGAGGCATTCCCGAGTTTTCGTAGGATTAATTGCAAGAGAGTGCTGGAGGAGAGGATCGAACTAGGACATCGCTGATCACTTCGCTGTTTGGTAAACTGTACTGCTAACTACTGTGCTACGCTGTCCTGTCTCTATATTTACTATTCGAACCTCTTTACTGTGCTTGTTGCTTCTGATCCTCGTATATCAGCAGAGGTAGCTTTGTGACTATCTATTTGTGTGCTTGAACTCTATTCAATTCGGCAATCCGAATTTCGTTCCGTTTACTTGCATCTCTCTGGTCTTCCAACTTAACAACGATCATGTTCAACATTATTTTATCTCTGTAACTAACTTAGGCCATTGTAGAATGTTGTTCTAATTGCATTAAAAGTTATGCCCATTTACACAGTGATGTAGAACAACTCTTATGGAAATTTTTTTCAAAAAATCCGCTGCTACGACGGTAACGCTTCGGAACACTGCAAATTGTAAAAAGTTCGGTATTTTGATCCAATAGTAGGAAAGCATGAAGCTCTTGGCGTTGATAGATCGCTGAAAGGTGCTCCGACATTCGGCTTCGTCAAGTATCGCCGAGGTGGTTGAACACATATCTGGCCATTACAATGGTTCGTGGTGAACTACTGATGTATCATGTCACTGTTGCTGTTCACCATGAGAAGTATAGTGTCGACTCCGGAGAGATGAAAGCTGTAGTGACCTTGAACACGAGAATGAATCGTGGACGTTGTGCGCGTTTTAGGACACCTCACCAATGCAGCACACGTGTTCTTGGGCCAATTATTCAATAAATTTATTCTCCACTTGTCATCGTCTTGAGAAATGTAGCAAAACCTTCAGGAGAGAAGGATAAGATCTTCCTGAGTGATCTTCTTAGCGCTGTTCTTTAGTCGTTTGAGAAGTGGATAGATCATGATAGTCAGCACTGTAGTAAATTACTCTTTGCTGCATCGGTAACCCAGCTGTGCTGTGTTGTTTTCTATCGTGATTGACGTTCAGATTAATCTTTGGCTGCTTTTAGATCAAATAAATATAGAGGAGCGTAAATTTAAAATCAGGCTTTACTTTGATTGACTAGACGATGTCTAATAGTGGTGAAGTAACTTTGTTATTTGGTCATTAGATACAAAGGTTGAATGGGACATAGCACTTTAGTATTTTAGCGGATTTTATATTTAACTAGGAATGACTGTCTGGCGATCCGAGTTATAGATAATCATTCCCCTCAGGAAACTCAGGTGTAAACAATAAATACTATTCGTGGAATAACGGATGTTATCTATTCTTTACTGTAAACTTCACTTAAAATTTCACTTAAGGTCGCTAATCCACCTTGCCATATGTAGTTCTCTACGAAAGCTCGTCTCGCTCACGTTTTTACTTGTTGCACATTCGGCGCACTTTCGATTGTTTGACTTCGCCATGTGCACTTTGCTGTGTGTTCTATGCTCTCCTTATTAAACATTCTATAGTCTCTCTTCTAAGCTTCAACTCTAGTTTGCCCTAACCTCGAAATCTCGCCCATCATAGAGTGAATATAAGCCGTCCAACTATTTGAATAAACTGAGCTTATGCTTGTTTAGATATTGATTAGTGTTCCCCTAATGTATACTGTCTTCGTCCATACATATATTCTTGTACTTCCATTAGCAAAATCCGAGAAGTTCGAATCAGAGGGTCCTGCGTGGCAAACTTTCAAAAACTTGCAGTCTGTCACGACCTAGGGCTCTGAAAATCAACTCAAACAGTACTCTCAGTATCACATTCTCTGCTGCACCGGCTCATGAGGTTGCGTATGATATTAGCAGATTGTATGATGGATATAAGACTTTCTAATTTGCCAACACCGTCTACAGATTTTTCTCAGCCGTTTACTGTCTAGACTTTCTATATTGCGAACAGGGCGAGTTATTCAACCGACTTCGACTAGAATTCTCATTTTTATTATTATCTCATTTATCTTATCACTCAAATCAGTTTCAATCCATGGTTAAGGCAACTCACTATTGTTATCAATACGAATTTGAGAAAACAGGCCGCTTGTGGGTGTTTTATTTATCATCATTTCGCCTCATCTCATCACCGAAGTCGGCTGCACTCAGTTAGCATTACAACAATGGTGCGAGTAACGAACATGATGATTCCATTACGTGCCACAGACGTACCATCACCAATGAAAAATCTGGTTATTCGCAACAGCACTGACGATGACATTGTCATCAAGATGGTATGTGAACCGCCGAGAGTTATTCAGCTCGAAGCTGAGAAGCTTATCGTTGACTCAAAACGATTTGTTATTGTCGGCTTGATAATCAACGATACCGAGCTTGCAAATTGTGGTAAGTGTTCACTACCGAAAATCCATGTGTATGCAAGACCAGTGAAAGCATACAACGAACAGAGTCTACGTCAATGGCTCTCCAGCAACCATACCCTGAAGAGTTCACAGTTGGCATTTATCGTCAAGCTAGACGTCAGCAACGGTAGCTATCCAGTCAGGAATCTAATTCTTGACCTTCCTGGCCAAGCATCACTGGTCGATCCTGTCACCAACGCCATCGATGAAATAACGGACGAAGACTGCACGACTGCTGTCAACATCGAAGCTGACACGGAGACCGCCGATATATTTGACGAATACGAAAAGTACTATGCATTACTACATCAGGATTATCCACAGCAAAGGTGCGGTTCATAATTGGCAATTTTTGGTTTTTATAAACAGGCTTGTATAGCTTGTGGCTCTATAAATTCTGTTGGACGGAAAACTAGTTGTCGATAACTTTGGCTCACTTGGAGTTCCATCTTTTTAAATAAATTGCCTCTACGGGTGAAAATGTCCCATGGAAGCTGAGAAATGCTAGCTATGTTTCCTGATTATTGCTACAATACTTTGGCATCGTAATGTGGTAATCATCATTCGTAAATTGCACTGTCTTAGCAGAAACCCCCCCCCCCCCCCCCCCCCCGCCAGCTCCGACTTCACTGCATCTGGTACAAGCTACCACGTTACTGAAAAAGTAATTGCGGTTGCGGATTGTAAGTTCAAAACCTTTATCAACGCATTTTAGTAAGAACTGCTTACGAGCGTGCACTGCAGTATAGTGGTTTAGAAGTTTCGTAAAAGAGATGTGTTTCAACAATGCATAAACTGGTAATACGTTTGCTCCAACTTAACGATCATTTTCATGCTTGTAGCAACATGTTTCGCCTCGTATTAACATTATCATCTCGTATAAAGCCATTGGAATCTATAGATCTTTGCCATTGTGATATATGACCCTATCGAGATAAAATTCTGATCTTCTGCAGTCCGTTTTTCCCCGTTTTGCCTTACTCTAAGCCACTATGCCGCTCCCGTGCCGAATGTAATTTCAAAAAAGTCAACCTATTTCACTATGAAAATATTCATGAAAGTTCTGCATACGGTTAATGCGATAGAGCAACGTTCCTTTTGAATTTTCAAAGATCAAAAATCCAGAGTACTCCAATGATTGGGAAATTGTCTGTAGTTGTTGGAAAAACAACATGGGAGCCTCATTTGTGGGTGCCCATCCAGTCAGACTTTTTCTTTTTAACATCGATCTTTCTCCCTCGTCGTTGCTGAGCGATACTTGCGAGATGAAAATCACTGCGGCACACGTCATCTTTGTGAGCAAAAAATAATGGGAAAATGGAAACTGTTTTTGAGCCATCTCATGTGTACTTCTTTCTATAATCTGCTCACTTTGCCCTCAAATTTTTTCTATAATCAAAGTTTTTGTACTGCTTCTGTCCACATTGTTTTTTCAATGAGGTGAATGAAAAAGATTTTTGAGTGAGTAGGCTTTGAAGATCCTTTAATTTTCAGAAAATATTTTATGGATCACTTTAGTTCTTTTAGATGGAGTATGCGTCCGTCTTTTTTCCTTCTCTTTCTCCCAGTTTTTTTTTTGCTGAAATTTGCATTACTTGAAAACCTCTATCTGTCATTTGTTTGTGT